TTGACTTGCACGGTAAGATGGTAAGATCACAACCGCCCCACTGCACATTAAGCCCTGCATAAGCAAGGGAAAGAAAAGAAAAAGGAGGCTGCTTCGGGTGTTCATTAGCCAATGACTTCAATCCCTGAATCAAAGTTACTGGTTATGTAAATCCAGTATGACACAAGTCTTTCCCTGAACCCCTTCATTCTGTGACGTACCATCAACACCATCTGCAGTTTCGCTTTCTTCTTCTTCTTCTTCTAGCATTTCAAAAGGAGTCATTATATCATAGAGAAATGAGAGGAAACCATAAAACCAATCTGAACTTTCCTCTGCTAAAATATTAAGGACTTCCTCAAGAGAATCAATATTTTCATTACTGCCATCTTTGGTCAGGCCTACATAAGAATAAAGGAAGAGAGAGAGAAAATAAGGAGAGCAGTTAGGTGGAAAAAAGGAAGGGCGATCTCAAAAACGATGTGCATCATGGTCAGAGAGGGTTACAGAAACCACATTTGGAAAATAAAGAAGTCCATCAAAATGCACACCTTACAATCAACTCTCAATCAAATGTCAAAAAAGCCACAGTTTGAACAATCCTCACCACTCCTACCAGCCCCTACCCAAGTTTGCCTTTCTCTCATTAGTGTTGAAAGAAAAAATTTTATCTGTCAAAATCAATAGACAATAATGGAAAATCAGTAGACAGTAAAAGGAAGGGTGAATAAAAGCAGTATCAGGGAAGAAAAGATAAATACTCTGACAACCGCCAGATTTGCTCATTTACCAACCAGATTTTATCGAGAGTTGATTATACACATATTCATTTATTCATTCATTCAAACTACAAAGGCTTATTTCCTCAAACTTCTCCCCTCCCCCTACCACCACCCCACTTAAGAACTGGAGTTAACTTAGGAAATTCTGGAGTTAATATAATTAGCAGTATTACCATTTATAACATCCATAGATGAGCATAAATATGCTCCAATTATGTATCTCAGATAATTTTAATACTTAAATTTTAACACTATTAAATGTGGTAGCTCTATAAAATTCTGGCAACTGATGCGCAGTTCTGTAATTCTGGCCAATGACAAGAGTCAGTTGTTAATAATAGTTTGCCTACAGATATGAAATTTGATCAAGGCCTTAGCCAGTCACTTGCAGTAAGAACATTCCAAACTCCTCTCCCCATGAGCCTGTGAAATTAGCTTCTATTGCTAAGACCCTTTACAACTGTCATTTTAAAGTACTGGACCCAAAGTATTGGACCCAAAACAGACCCTTAGGATAGAAGTAAATCGAAGTATATATTGTTTGTATTATTTGCTTCTTTTTCCTGTGAAGAACTGCCTCTGGTAGCAAAAGTTTCTTAGCGCCAGTAGGCATCAGAATCTGCCAATACTACCAAGCTATATATGGCAAGACCCCATAATTCTGAGGAGGAATAACAGGGTAGGGTGTTCTGGCTGTAAGAAATTTCAACATCCATGACACCAAGCTTTTCTGGTTGTACCCACCTAATTCAATCATTTAAGTCTTTGGCAACACACAATTTCTCCATGTAGTATAACTATGAGCAATCAAGATTGGCAGATGAAGGATAAGATAACAACCAATTTAAAAGTTTTAAAGGTTATGGTGAAATTTCTCTGCTTTACTCAAAAGAACTATATTATGTCATTCTTCATGAGTTTGGTAGGAATAAAACACAAATTGCAGTTGGTATTTAAATTACTTTTTGACAAGCCTAGAATTTTTTTTCACTGAATTTAGCAGTTGACAAATGCTGTGAACAGAGATCTATATTCCCAGCTAACTCTCTGTGGGAATAACACTGTTTCTTCTTTTTGCCTTAAAACACTATAGCGGCATGGTATAAACATCTTCATTTTTCTCCATTTGCCAACATATTACAAGTACTTCCGAGTATTACATATAAAACATAAAACTTTTTCATCCTTCAGTATGACAGATGACCATGTGCAACAAATATGAAAAAGCATTTGAACAAAACTGTTTACCCAGCCAAGCAACATTCCTGTGGTTCTGAAGACAAAAGTCCTGGTCCAAATAGAAAAAAATATATTCTCGGTATGTGATTCCTTCTGAACCTCTAAGAACAGGGCTCAACCAAAGAGAATGCCTTTGGCTTGGAAAGGGCTGGTATTCTCCCATCTGCTCACTCATGCATCTACCAGTCTACAAATGTTCTTCCAGGATATAGCAAGTGCTGACTGGCTTCCCTTTTGCTTTCCAGTCATACCTGATACGACACCAGCTAGGTGCTAGCCATAAGACAAAGGGCAACCACGTTACCTTTAGGAGGCATCACTTTAAGGATTTAGTGTCCAAGTCACTTTCCTGTTGATTTTATTTGGAAAATACGCTTTTAAAGACTACATTTCCAAACAATGCAGTGTTCAATAATACGAACAACTACAAAAGATACCTATATTTTAATTTGGCCACAAAAATAAGAAGCTGTGTAAATGAATAACAATGGGCTTAGTACATTTTCAAAGAATCAGAAGGGCCTTGGCCAGAAATAATCATATAATAAAATTAATGATGGTTATTGATCTTGATTTACTCACATATATTTAATTCTATTTCACAAGAAAAGCCAAACCTTAAAATTGAGTGAAATGTACCATGTGAATGTGTACATTTCTCCAACTTTTTAAGATATAGATATATGTAGATTTAAGAATCTAAAAAGAAATATTTATGAAATAAGTGCAAAATCTACTAAAGTTTAACATATCTCCACTATTACTACACCTGCGATGCGAAGCACTCCTCTCGTCTCTGACCTCCTACCTTCCTCCCTCCCCTTGGATCTCCTTGGCCTTAATCTAAAACCTAAACCCTTAAAGTGTAAACTTTACCGTTAAGCTGCCTCTCCAGTGAGAATGTACCCTGGAAGTCTGGCTTCTTTTTTAGCATAACACTCACCATGGCGCTCCCCTCATAACCCCTACCTGACCACACAGAAGCCGCTGAAGCCTCTGCTCCCCCAACAATTTCACCGGGCTGTCTGTGCAGTAACCTTCCAGTAACAGAGGCACCTCTAAGCTACAATAATCTCACAAACCAGAAAAGAACTTTAGTCATAAAACTCAATGCAAGTTAAGGTTGCATTTCATGCAGAGAACTCAAAACACTATAGAAATAAGGTTAGAGGTGATAAGTAAGCCTAACATTTCACCTTTGGTGTGTTCCATCTGTACTAAAGCCATAAGCCAACTGCAAATTAGTACAGGAAGAGTAAAAAAGTATTTATATAGTTTTATCTGATCTGTCTTTATGCATTTATTAGTAAAGTTACCAAAATAAACCTTGATATTCACCAAATTTAGTTCCACTTCCAAGTGCACAAATCTTATAAATGGCACAATTTATGAGTTCCTCACACTATACCTGCAAACAGCAATATTCAAAGTTACAATTAATTAACTTCTTAATGATAAGTTAAAAACCTTAAAGGGAATGACCTTTTGAAATCTCAAATACACTAAAAATCAAGTTATTAAGGTAATAGTTTGCTATAGAAATCAGTGTATTTTATCAAAGAAATACCACATTTTAATTTTTAATGGTTGACATTTCCTGGCAGACCAGATAGTTGGTTTTAAGCAAAAACAAATAAAAATCAGCAAAATACAGTAGATGAGGAAGTAGTATTATTTTTGAAAATGAGGGAACTTAGCCTACATTTTATTTTATCTTTAAAATAAAAGGTTTTGCTCTTCAGAATTTGTCATTTAAAGTAATATAATGAACTAATAAACCATTTATAGGCAACCAAATTGACACCACTCTGACAAGTTCTATATAATTTTGTTTCTTTTACGTGCCTAGGATTATAGTCATCTGAAGATTTAACATATTTACAGAAACTCAAATTTAGATACAGAATAACAGAACTACATTGAAAATTTCATTAAAGTTAAGACAGGAAAAGAAATTTCACAGTAAGTTTCCAGTAGTAAGCAGCAAACACTAATTCCCAATGGAAGGTAGGGAAGAAAAAACAAAAAACAAAAAACTAACATAGGTCCAAATTAGGAAGGTTTATTACCCTTAACCACAACTAAAACTCTGTTTTCAATATTTAGAACCTTTTTTATTTCATAAGGAGGTGAAATTAATCTACTAAAAGCAGTTTTACTTCATGTCTAAAACATATACACAATACAGTGTAATTAGGAAGAATTTCTTTGGGTCATTCTTTTATGAGCTTAATGTATAATATCATGCCATATCCATTATTTTTCTAAAGACTCTGATATAAAATGTTTTAACATGAATTATGCTAAATACAAAAGCAAAGGAAGTCTCACCAGAGCAGATTATATAAAATTTGCATATTAAAATTAATATCATTCTTTCCAACAAGACAGCATTTTAAAACAAATGAGGGAATACCACATTGTTATTTATTACAAGAAACATCTCTGATAAAGACAATAGAAAGAGAAGGTTCCAAGACTTCCAAAATAAAGACACTGGGTCAAAAGACCAGAAGTTTGTATTTTAATGCTAACATTAAAATATGCATGGGATGTTTTAAGATGTTTACTATCACTTTTGTTTCAAAATTAATTTATGTAAGACTGCAAAAATTTACATTTTGAAATGGAAGTGAATGTCTAATGTCAATGAAGAATGGCTATAATTACCATATCTGAAAACAGACTAGGGTATTATCTATTCCAATTCTAAGTTCAGAGTAAGAAGTACTTTAAATTTTAAAACAAACATGACATTATTATACTGATCAAAAGATATATATGTAAGAGACATACACTTATTCATTGACAAAAGTAAATTGAAATGTAAGAGTCTGTGGAAAAATAAGCCATTTAAATTTTAACAGTAATGAAATACATGATTTAAGGGGGAACTATCTTCTGTAAGATATATACTATTGAGATAGATATTATTAAATAAAAAATATTTGTCTCTAGCATTTTATCATCACTAACAAAAAACATAAAATGTGTACTTGCCTAATAAAACTTTGGCATCATCCACATCAAAATCTCCATCACCATCAGCATCATAGACTCCTAGTTTTCCTACAATAGAAGAGAAATGATGGGTATGGAAACAAAAGAGAAAACAAATTTAATAAGGTACTATCACTTAGTGCAGTCCTACAACTCAGTCATAAATGTTACCAATTAATGCAATTCTTTCCTCTTTTAATCCTGCAAAGCAGTGTCAAATTAATATATTACTTCAAAATAGTGAGCAATTCAGGTAGTCAGGAAATGTTCAGCTAACAAATTCTAAGAAATAAAACTGACATAGCATTTTCTTTAAAGAATGAACAACATCCTGATCTAATTACTTGAGAACATTTATTATACTGCTAAAAATATTTTTCGTAAAGTTTTTAGCATATATGAAACAATAGTGATTTATTCCTGTTACTTCAAATTTAATGTTTCTAATGCATGAAATTTCATCACACTATCAATATCTGAACCAAAAGAAACAAATAACTCAGCCTCAAATAGAGACTAAATATAAACAGATTAACACAGAATCTAAGTGCTAACAATTTAAAAATCATTAAGTTGAAATTTTACAATCATGGTTTATAACAGAAATATCACAAATTAACCTTTAAAAATAAAAGACCACTATCAAAATAAAGCATATAAAACTGGAGGCTTCCTGAAATTATAAAAGAAAACTTATGATTATTCGACTTAACTCTGGCCATCTACAATAAGAAAAAAAAAGGCTTAAAATAGATACGCTGAGAAGACAATACTACCAAAGCCTTTTCCTCTTCAAGAACAGAAAATGCTTTTAGGCTTTAATGCTTTCTCATAAGAAACACTATCATTTTGTTTAGCATTTCAAAAAGTCAAATACATTCAACTTCCTAAAAAAGCATCCTAAAATCCACGATTCTAATTCATTACCGGACAATAACTGTGGAGAAACATAATTATGTTAATGTACAGCAATATTTTAAACAGGATTCACAATGCTCTCAACAGGATTTAGAGCATTAGCCCTAAAAACAAAAACAAAAACAAAAAAACAGTTGGCAGCATTCTTATCATTTCTTTAATACAAAGTGCATTAAAAGATCCCAGAAGAGCAGGCAGAAATTCTGGCTCAGAGTAGCTCTGATCAATCTCATGTCCCCAGAGCCCTTGCTCTACTTAGGGAAATGGTTAACTTGCTATATAGAAGTCTGACTTAGCAAACACATACACATTTAAAATGATAATGATGAAGGAAGAGATAAGGATGTTATTTCAACTGCTAAAAACACAAAAAGTACTAATCAAGGCTACACAGAAGACAGAACTCAAGAAACAGTAAAAGAAAATACTATCCTTCCTGACAAACCTATAATGGGAAATTGGTCCTATCACTTACATTCTAATGTAGGTAATAACGAGATTAGTAGAAAAAGGAGGAGGTATTAGAGACTAACACACGTAGACTTGAAATGCATCTCCAATTGCCTACCTTGAAGTACCTCTGATAAGTTATAACGGAAGTCCTTTGCTTTGGCTGCATGCATGTAAAAACATGAAAATTGTTATTTGTGCTTTAAGATATGAATATTTAGAATCTCCTCTTTTAAGATACGTTCCCTAACAACATAAGTCAGTAAGCATAAATCTACTCAGAAATTTGTCTCCAAACTAAAATCCTCCCCCTGTTGGTCTGTCAATCAATCCACAGACACTTTCCTTAAAGCAATGAAAATGAAAAACTTCAGTAAAAAACAGATTACAGAGAAGCATATTTTGTTATTCTTTGCCCTTTCTCCCCAAAAAGATGTCTATAATCTGACAAGCAAAGCAGAAGCACAGGAGGTCCAAGGGAAGAGGAGATCGTCCATGCAACATTGTACATATAGACAAGCATGCATTTTTTTTACAGTGACAAGTTCACATCTTTCACTGGATTACTAAAGAGGAGGGCCATTATTCGCAATAGCCAAGAAGTGGAAACAACCCAAATGTTCATCACTGATAACAGGCAAAATGTGGTGATGATATATTGTGTAGCCATAAAATGAAGTACTGAACCTTAAAAACATCATGCTAAGTGCAAAATGGCAGGTACAAAAGACCATTTAGCGTAGGGTTCCATTATGTGAAATGTCCAGAATAAAGAAAACCACAGACACAGAAAGTAGGTTAGTATTTGCCAGCAGAGAGAAAGAGGAGGAGATTGGGTATTTAAGGGAAAGGGGTAACAAAAATAATCTGGAATTAGACAATGCTAATGGGTACATAAAATGATGAATATAGTGAAAGAAAACTGAATTGTAATATTAAATTTTATTTCAGTTTTAAAAAGAGATTTTTGGGGAAGTGAAAGAGAATGTGACTCTAAAAGTAATAAAGAAACATTAATGTAAAAAATAATGAAAAACTGCAGTGATTATCAGAGAGAAAAGGAAAAAGGAGAAAGGTCACTATCAGAAGAACCACAGCAACTTTCTCAGAACAGCATACAGATCACTATACACACACAAACATATCTACAAACGCCTATCTTAGTACACCCATCCAGCACCTGTATTCATGCACACACTCACCCCATTCCAACAGAGACACAGAAGGGTGTGCTTTGAAAACTCTCTCTAAGGAAGGGTTTTGCACATTGTCTGGGTATGATTCATTAGTGGGTCCTTAAGTAAATTTAGTGGCTCGTGATTAAGTATTTAAAAATTTATAATAAAATTGAATAGAAACCAAAAGGTACTGCATATAGTGAGTATGAGTACTGTTTGATAACACTTCTCTCTGTATGACAGACGTACGATAAAAAGCCTTTTTTAAAAAAAGCTACAGGTCATTTTCAAAGAAGCTCAAAAGACAGTACTCCAAGGTAACCCTCTTCATATCCCTTTTCAGCCTCACTCTATTGAGAACCACTGAAAGGCTACAGAAATTGCTGGTACCACAAAGATAGTAACAAATATTCAAGATTCCTAAGAGATGTCATTTACTCCCTTACAAATTCACATAAGATATTGAAATTCTTACCTAGAACTTCTTCATAGTCAACAAGATCAAACCAGACCACAGCGACAGATGTCCAGACACCCAGCAATGCAATCACCATAAACCAAGTGAAGAATGAAGTTCCCGAGAGTCCTGCTTTCCTCTCATTCTTGTGTCCTCCGTGCTTTGTCTCTGTGTAGAAATAAATGTAAGATGGTATAAGAAGAAAATACCTTACTGAACACGTCTTCTCACAGTTATTTCTCCAGTAATTTGAGAGTATATACAATGACAGACCATTTCTAAAAATAGTTTTCAGTTAAATTCTCAAAACATGTCACACAGAATATTTTTGAAGACAGAAAAGATTGTTTGGATGCAACACTAACTTTGAAGTAGTGTGTGAAATAAACTACTAATTTTTTAAAAAAAGACTTAGTATAATATGTATATTCCATCTAAGTTACTTATCAAAATGACCTGATTACCCCCTTTTAAAGACAGAGCGCATCAATAACTTAATGAAATCACATAAAAATGTGGCCATATCCTTTTCTCTGTCCATTTCATTTCTGCAGAATTTTAAAAACTCTGTTAACTACCACAGAAGCAAGTATATGCCCTCAAACCATTTCATATTCTTAGCCAGAGAGAGAAGGACAGAGAAGTGAAATAGCACAGTCCATTCCTACTCCTTTACAAGATCCATTGAGGCCTCGGGAAACAGGAAAAGGCTCATTCACAACTGGTCTCACTTCAGGAAACAGCTTTGTAAACTGCTGTCCACCTGAAGCATCATTTATCACATCTGATATGATTAATATACCTTATATTCTTTTGCAAGTATTCTTCTTACAGTCAAAAATAAAAATCATTTGATATTAACAGAAAATAATCAACACTGTCCTTAAAAAGATGAACCATATTTAAATTTCCCATAAAAAGGAATATAATACATATTATATCAATATTAATAAATTAAAAGGATAAATTGTGTCCCAAAATGCCTTGAGAAGAGGGAAAGTTTATGAAACAGAAGATGGAAGGGCAGGGCAGAGTCTCCTTTTTGGGCGGCAGGTGGAGTCACCATTAAAGTGCCTTCATGTGCACTGCTGCTGGTGATTCTCACCATGTCCTGCCACTGTTTCTACAGAGGGCATTTCTGGATATTTATGCAGGTCAATGTTTCATCCTGTGCACCTGTTCATCACATTGCAGGATTTCTGGCATCCCTGATTTCCCCTGGACCTAAAGACAAGGAGCTCCCAAGGGTTATGACAAGCAACCCACCCCCAAACATTTCCACATGTTCCCTGTAGGGGCAGTTCCTGGTTGAGAGCCAACAGGGATAAAGACAGAAATAGTTATCTGTTTTATAAAAGAAAAATGAAATGATTCTCCCAAAGTCATCAGTACAAATTGGGTAGAACTAGGAACATACTCTCATCTCTATAGCTCTGAGTTCCTCAATCTCTAATCAGTGGGCCAAATTACATGATTAAAAAAAAAAAAAAAACCCACTAGCTCTAATCTAGAACTTGCCCTTTGACTTCTAAGTCCAGTTCTAATTACAGAATGCTACTAGTAATTTGCAGTGGCTCAAGTCAAGAATATATAGTCAATATTTCTTCTGGAAGAAAAAATGAAATTATTCTTAAAAGGATATAAACATTTTTTTAAAATATACCATTAGATCAGTTTTTCAAAAGGGGCCATAAAAATCAAATCCATCTATGTCTATGTACACTCAAACATACACATATATTTATCTATATGCCTACATCAAATTATATAAAGTTCTGATTACTAATAAAACTAGTATTTTTTGAGACAGTCTCCCTTTGTCACCTAGGCTGGAGTGCACCGGCATGATCTCGGCTCACTGCAAACTCCGCCTCCCAGTTTCAAGCAATTCTCCTGCCTCAGCCTCCCAAGTAACTGGGATTACAGACACCTGCCATCACGCCTCGCTAATTTTTGTATTTTTAGTAGAGACAGGATTTCACCATGTGGGCCAAGCTGGTCTTGAACTCTTGACCTCAAGTGATCTGCCCGCCTCTACCTCTCAAAGTGCTGGGTCTTTCTTAAAAAGTCAAGTATTTCCTTTTTCTGACATTCTTTAAATATTGATGGATCCATCAGAGCCAGTGTTCTAAATAATATGTTAAATTCATAAAAGTATGCTTACCAAATGAAAAATGGCCATCAACTTTGTTTCTAATGTGATCTATAAAAGCTAGCTATATAGAAACATAATTTACGTGTTATAAAAATACTTGCTGGGCACAGATCCTGTTGTTGCAGATTAAATCAACTTCAAATAGGTACCATTACCTGAACACAGCCATGGGAGGGGGAGACTGGGTGAGAATGTCTGCTATGTTGGTAGAAGGAAATGGTGATTTTCAAAAATGTTGTATGTTGTAAGCATATAAAAAGAAAAATACAAACTAAACTACTACTAAAAGTTCAAGAAAAAAAGATTTATGAAAGTGAGTAAGCTTCTGTGAGGGCAGGAAGTGCCATATACTCAGTAACAGTATTGTATCTCTAATTCACTATATTTTTATGAACAGACTTTTTTTCTAATACTATATCCAAAAGAAACCAAAAATCCCTTATTTCTATATAACATACAGACATATACATACAAATTCATCTGTGTACAACACTAAAAATAATAAAAATAATACCTTCAAAAATATCCACATACTAAAAATATGGAACTACAGTAGCTAATGACTAAGAATTTCCTGACTTTGCTACTTATTCCCTCTAAGAATCAAATTTATTTATTTATTTATTTATTTATTTGGAAAAGGAATGTTAAAACTTCAGTAAAGCTGGGTTCTTGTCTTACGTCTTCCTGAACATTCTGTAACTGATACCAGTCTCTTGTATTTTCCTCATTAACTGGAAAACAGCAAGGCTAAACAAATACAGTTCATCTTTTCATTCATCCAACATTTTTATTCAGTATGTGAATACCAGATAATTGTACCCAACAATTAAGTTTTTAAAATGAGTATGTGGCCAGCCAGATACCCAAGATGATTCTATTTTAAAAAGCCTATACTGCAGTGAGGTATGATTCCATTACTATACTCCAGCCTGGGCAACAAAGCAAGACCCTCTCTTAAAAAAAAAAATTTTAAAGTCTGTAATGAAATAGCTAATAAAATATAGTAATAAGTTGAATTCAAAGTTTGATCATTTCTTCATTTCTCTCTCTCTCTCTCTCAAAGGGAAACAGCGGAGGAAAATTTCTGAGATTCTGAAAAGGAAATTATCATTTATCCAAGTTAACTCAGTGATACTGATTTAAGTTACTGACTACACCACCATATACACAGGGAAAAGTAGACAAAAGACTTTTTTCTAAAATACAAAATAAATACATACACTGAAACAGCAAGGGATTGAGATGGGAAGAGAGCCAAACACAATAAAAAACACACCTTTACCTAGAATTTGTTTATGTTTTTATTTTACATGTGATTCTAACAATTTCAATTTCAATTAAGTTTTCTAGCTCATTACACAAAACCCTAGAATTGATTTTAGACACAATCTAACCCAAATGAGTCAAAGCAACAGAGTGCTGACAGAGGAAAAGCATATAAAATGCACACATCTCTCCAGCAAGAGCAGATCCAAGAACTCAGAAAAGCTGAGTGCTAGGAGACTTTCAGGCAGAATCCCTGAGGGTCCTTCAAATAATCTTCAATACAAGACAATAACTGATTTCACACTGATTCTGCCATTAAAACATGTAAGAAATGTATAATAAATCTTACAAAGATTTTCATTCAAAATAGTTTTTAGTAAAGAGATTTATCACTTTAAAAACTAAATGTTACTTAACTAGAATATATTATCAGCAATATTTTATATATCCCTTTACAAATAATAAATTATCTGTTACTCTAGTATTATTAACCTTATTACTGTTGATATTTACTAGTTCCATAAAGAAACAAAATACTAAGTTATAGAAGGGATTCTTTCCTAAGACACCTTTTTTAGGGGCAGTTTTTATTGACACCAAACAATATATTCTTGGTATGTCATTTGGTAAATATGCTGTGCCTAGTCCCAAAGGGCAGATCAGTTTCTGTCCAACGAAACTAATGAACGCATGGTAAGACAACCCTTAAGAGGGTTTACAACTCCCTAAGCAAATCTGAAACCAGTATCCTGTTCCAAAGGTATTTGGGAAGAACATCTAGTAGATGTCCCTATTTTCTCAGATCAGAATAACTCTAAGTCTTCATTTCATTTTCTGGCTCCATGTTCAGCCTGTAGTCCTGGGATCAGTGAAAAAAAAAAATTTTACTGCAGTTTAAGAATACCGCAAGAACTATGCGATTCATTTTTTTCCCACATTATTCCATCAAAAGTACATGACCTCCAAATCAGAAAATGTTCCTACATACCACCAAACACAGAAATTCCTATGGCAAGCAAGAGTCCAAAATGAAGACACTCCAAAAACAAAAGGAAGGGGAAGGGCAACGTGCAGTTTTATTTATTTGATCAAAACAAGGGAGACAAGAAGATGAACCCCAGCACTTGAACGGTCATCAGCTTCTTCACTGGCCAACTACGAACTGAATTATAGATCATTTATACATTTTGATTAGCATTATGTTGAGAATTTCATATTTACACATAAACTCAATGCACTTAAAGTTTTTTGAAAAACACGAAAACTGTCAAGCAGAACTCATCAAAGTGATTAATTTTCCATGCTATAAAATGTCACCCATTGGGAATCAAGAACTGTTAAAATTGGGTCAGATGTTAACAGCTGATTTTTCCTAACTACATAGATTACCTAATCCACAGAGACGAGAAATATCTTCCAAAAGAACTAAAAGACACATATCTCATATTCTTCTTCATGGCTACGTGAAGCACTTTATCAGACGAGTCAAGTAACCCATTCCAGCCAATTATTCAAACAGCATTCACGGAGGAGATGCTCATATTCTCTATCCTAATAGAAGAATCCTTTCATAATGAGTGAATGCAGTCCTTCAATTAATGGAAAGACTATCTTAATTTACAGAGTGAAGCAAAAACAAATATATTCAAAACATGAAATTCAATACATCGTTAAAGGATATTTCAGGATTAAAGAGTCAATTTAAAAACAAAACTCTTATGTTTTTTCTTTGCATTTATTATCTGCTTCACATAAAAGTAGGTCACTTTCCATAAATGGCAAGTCGTTGCTTGAACCAAGTAAGCCCGTTCATTAATATGAGACTGAATTTATATATCCTATAATTTTATATAAAATGTAAATATACATAATGCTTTAAATTCATTGTAATCAAGTTTTTAAAACCAAAGAAGAGAGCTCGTTCATTTTTTGAAATTTGTAAGGTCCAGTCTCCAATAGTACAATATAAGATCATCTAAATTAAGACACCAAAACATATTCTGATTAAAGACAGATTATTCCATGAAATATTCAGGTACTATGAAAAGTCAGTATCTCAAAGTTCAAAATAGAAAACGTAGATGGTGCAGTCAAAGCACTTAGCCAAAAATATTTTAACACAGCACAACTGGAAATAAAGCGAAAAGCTGTCAGCTAGATCTAAAGTCACTTTTAACCTAAATAACAAAAATATACCTTTATCTTCAGCCATTTCGATTTCTTCAATCCATGAATAAAAAATGCTAAAGTTAAAAAAAAAAAAAAAAAAGCCAAATGACTCAAAAGTACTACTGGCAGGTCTTAGACACACTGCATGCACTTGCCTACCGAAGCTTGAGACTGGCCAGCCCCTGCACAGCAAGGGCCTCTACAACTGAAATTGGACCTGACTACAAACTCTGCTCACAAGTTATTTTTAGAGGCTAAATGCTGCTAATCACTTAGGCTGAAGTGCACTCCCTAACAACACGACAGCCTTTCTCCCACTTACGGGATTCCTTTCCCAGTTAGTGCTAGCTAACTTCAACCCCTAAAAAATCAAGCATGTCGAAAAAAAATGAAATGGAACAAATTGTGCTGCCAATTTTGTTTTCTTGGAAGCAGGTTTTAATGGCTTTAGCTTAAGCACCAATTCATTCAAAACTCAAACAAGTCTTGCTATAAAATATGGCCCCAAGCCCAGAAGCAGCTTGATTTCGCCCTTCAGAATCTAATAAAATGGCTACAAGGAAACACCAATAAATTGTTTGAATGAAACAAAACCATAAATAGTAAGAAATTAATTAATGGTCCAGAATTCTGATTCATAGACACCACCCCGGGGCTAATTCCTGCAACAGCAAAAATAAAGCAACACCACAAAATGTTTCACTAGAAAAGGAGGGAGAGAGAACTGGTGGGAGGGAAAGAAACAGAAGGAAGGCAGGAAAGTGAGGAGAGGGAGAGAAAGAAATCTTCAGGAGTAAGAACAACGACCTGGGAAAGATCCTCTTGAAAGGGAACGAGGAAAAGATTACACAAACACATTCTGATTTTTTTTTTTTTCCGACTTCTCCCCAACCTCATCTCCAAATATTCTCTTCTGGAAAATAAAATCAGCCATTTAATTCACTGATCTACCATTACCAGTTAACAGAATTCATTAGAGTTCTGATTAGTACACTAAATTAATTTATCATAAATAGTATCTAGAACAAGACAGCAACCTTTCTAAGTTGTTTATGAGACTAATTCTTTCACTCAAATGTAAGGCTTCACAAACAAATTAAACATTTAAATGTTTTGAATACTACTCGTAATTTCCAGTAGCTCAAGTCAAGAATACACTGGAAGAAAAAATAAAATTCTTATTAAAAGGATATACATGTTTTTTAAAAATATAACACTAGATCAATTTTTCAAAAGGGGCCATAAAAACTAAATCCATCTGAGTGTATGTGTGTACACTCAAACCTATATATTCAAAGGTAAATGTTACTTAACTGGAATATTAAATTAACTGGAATATTAAATTACTAGCAATATTTTATCTATCCCTTTATAATATCAAATAAATGAGGTGTTACTCTAGTATTATTAACCTTATTACTATTGATATTTACTAGTTCCATAAATGAACAAAACACTAAATTACAGAAAGGATCCTTTCCTAAGCTGCCTTTTTTAGGAGCAGTTTTTTATCAGCAGCATACAATATACTCTTGATACGTCATTTTGTAAATATGGTATACCTAGTCCCAAAGGGCAGATCAGTTTCTGTCCAGCAAAACTGATGAATGCATGGTAAGATAAACCCTTAACAAGTTGGTACCATAGTCTGCAACCTATGGCGCCAACATTTGATGGCCCAGGTTTAGGACAGAGTGAAGCAGGTAGGCATCAAGGCAAACTAAACAAAACTGTTCTCAGGTGCCCCTGGCCAACTATCATTTCCCCCATTCTTTTCTCCAAAGATCTGTCCCACTAAACTTAGTGCTTGCTAAATTGTTAAATGACAATGAATTACTTGTTAACGGGATAAAGTGACCCACTATTTCGTCACCACACAAATTAATAAGACAAATATTCTGGAAGCTTTCTTTCACTGTGTTGTTTATGGAAAGAAAATGACAACATGATACCCCTATGGGTGAGACCATTAGAAACCAAGCCCCAACACGGATACACAGGCAGCTTGGTATGCTTTCATTCTTAGACATCTGGATTTGTTTCATGGCTTCTCCATTAAATTTGATTTGGGGGAAGTCATCAAACTTCTGACCTCAATTTCCTTGCTTATAAAATGGATCTTCACACAAACGAGGTATGCAAATATTTGCTGGAGTTGTCAGTGAAACAAATTTTTATCGATTCAATCATGACTAGTGCACAAATATCCGTACTCCCAATTTAGAGCTCTAATCCCATCTGCCCCTGCAACTGCTGAAGCTGCTAGGGTTTCTTCTCCTTTCTTTACTGGCCTGTGTGAGGTCAGCTGCACTCCATATTACAGAATGTCTACGGTCTAATGTTGGACTGTTAAGAATCACAGCTATTAAAATGTGATGACACCTCACCCTGAGACTTCTTCAATGCAGCTCCAATTATTCCTCAGTGACAAATCTTTATCTAGCTCTTTCGCAAGTCCTATAGTTAACCTTCTTTTGTCTTTTGCAATAATTGAATAGTTATTTTGATAAAAATGTATTTCCTCCTCAGTTCACGATGATAATGACATACCTGTTATTTTAGATAGGGAGATCAGGAGAAAAACCTGTGAAATATCATTTAATCTATCACAACCCTTTTTAAAGAACAATAAATTCTGAATTCTAAGCAACTACCTCTTATAATGACAGTTCATTTTTATTATAAAGAATGTTAGTGAAAAGTTTAAAAATAAACTTCATTTGCAAATAGTAAATCATGTTTTTAAAACCTTAACAAACACACCTAAAATGATATTAACTATTCCTCGTAATAGCTATTGGTACTAATAGCAACTCCAAGTCTAATCAAAGACCAAACGTGTTTTGAGAGCATTAATATCAGCCTGATGTCACTTGCAACCAGAGGAGCCGGGACCTATGTCCACTGAGTCGAGGGTTCTACCTTCCTCCAAAAACCTCCCTTGACTGATGAGCCCTTCTTGCTCCTCTACCAGTTCAGTCACTGCGTAGACTGCCACAGCTGCCACCCTGGGTGAACACAACTATCCCCAGCCACCGAGGCAAGGGCAACCAGGCTCAAGGAATCAACACCGGGAACTGATCACAGCAGAGCCAGCTTCATCCAGGTCTCGATGCTGCCTGCAACCCTCCCAATTCTCTACAAACTCACCTCGCCATACTTCATGGTGACTATATCAAACTTCTCTGCCCCCAAGTATCCTACCTCTTCATACTCAAAAACTGCCATAGCCTCATACTTCAGAGAAAACAGAACCCTCAGCAGGAAGCTACCCTGAGTGCCCAGTGCCCAGCACACAAACCTGTCCTCGCCTGCATCCATTCTGAGTTCCTCCTCAGCTACCTCGCACTCCGCACTGTCTCTTCATGCTCCTCCTCCCGCAGCCTCACTGCCTTTGCCAGGTCTCCCTCCCATCCTGCTGCTAGCCTCTGCGATCTCACTCTTCCTATCACAGAGAAAATTCTCCACAGAGTTGCTGTTCCTCTGTTTTCATTTTCTAACCTCCCACTCACTCCTTACAACCTGTAGGCTTCCATCTGGCTTCTGCACATAGCTCCCGCATAGTGGCTCTAATGTCACATTAATGATTTCCATGTCATTAAACCCAACGGAAAACTTTCAGTCCTCATCTGACTTGACCCTCTCAGCAGAACTCTCCCTCCTTCTTCAACACTCTCTTCCCTTGACTCTCATGACTTCAGAAGCTTGTGGTACTTCTAACACCTCTTTAAACTTTCTAATTTCTAGTCTCCTTTGCTAGTTCATTCTCATCTAGTTGGTTTCTAAGTGTGAAAATTCTGTAATACTTGGTCCTATGCCACCCCTCTAATTGACTTCAGCTATCAACTATACAACTTACATGTCTCCCCTTTGAGCTCCACAACCACGTGTCTTCTCAATATCCTATTTGAATGACTTACAAAAAAAAACCCTCAAATTCACCATATACACAAGCAGCCCTGGTCTTTCCCCCTCCTGTTGAGTGTCCTAAAGCTCAGAAGCACTTCTATGAAGCCAGTTGCTTAGACAAAAACCCCAAGATTCATCCTTGACTCTTGTCCCAAACACTCACCTCTCAAAATTAGTTTCTCATCTGACTGTTGTAAACGGCTTACAGCAAGGCCAAGATACAGATTCTCCTCAGCACCCAGGTCACCCTTGTCCATTTACCACAACATAGTTTTTAAAAGCATTTGTGTGTGCCACAACATTAAAAAGTGGGAAATTCTGTCTCAAGTCTCAATGTTCTTTCAACTACAATCATCAAAATCCAAGTTATCATCATCTCCTAGGTGACTTCAATAAGTTAATATACACTTTTCTACTCCATAAAGCAGCCAAAATACGTTTTTTTCTTTCTTTTTCTTTTTTTTTTTTTTTGAGACAGAGTCTCACTCTGTCAGCCAAGCTAGGGTGCAATGGCGTTTGATCTCGGCTCACTGCAACCTCCGCCTTTCGAGTTCAAGCAATTCTCCTGCCTCAGCTTCCCAAGTAGCTGAGATTACAGGCACCTGCCACTACACCCAACTAATTTTTATAATTTTAGTAGAGACAAAGTTTCACCATGTTGGTCAGGCTGGTCTTGAACTCCTGACCTCAGGTGATCCACCCACCTTGGCCCCCCAAAGTGCTGGGATTACAGGCGTGATAAAATATTTTTAAAATATGATTATATCACTTCCCTGTTAAAAATCCATTAATGTCCTAATACTACTTTTGAGATAAAATACAACATCATCCCTGTGGCCTACAAGACTCCATGTGATGGGGCCCCAGCCCATGGCTTCAGTCTCAGTGTTGTGTCACTCCCCTAGCTGCCTAGACTCCCACACAAAACACCTGAACATGGTCTTTCCCTCTCGGGTTCTCAGCCCAGACTGTTCCCTCTTCCCATAATTACATCAAGGTTGCACCACCACATACAATCTTTACACCCCAGCTACCGCCTGCTCACTCTGTTTACAAACCACCTCCTCAAGGAAGCCTTCCTAGCTTCCCTCACTCTCACAGCAGTGTGCATTTCTTTACTGCGTTATTACACTGCTGATGAGACAACTATACAACTGATTTCTTAACCTCTTTCCACCTCTAGAAGTTTCATGCAGCAAGGAACTGAATCTGCCACGTTCATTACTGTACACATCCCTTGGATCTACCCAGTATAAACTCAATAAAGTAATCACTTGTGAAATGAGTGGATATATTCCTTCT